CGTGTGTGCCTGATGTTATATCGATGGAGCAACACAGCCCTTCGCAATGAGGCTGGACCTTACTGTGTTGCGATGGTTTGTGTGCCTCGGTGATCCACTGAGCTATGCTGCGTGGTGCATTTTTGCACCTTCAGAGCCACTCATACCAGATTGGTCAATGGTTAGAGGCCAGACAAACTCAGCTTCATGGTCATCCAGGTTGGGGGTTGGAATGAGGGTGGCTCCTTATTCCTTAAAACGGACTTCTAGCAGCTCACCGCCAAACCCGCTGCCTTGCGGTCAAGCTTTTGAACCAAACACTTTGGTTCTCCTCTCTACACGTGGGCAACCTGACAGTGTCCTGCCCTCCCAATACTAGGAATATTTCGTCAAACATTTTCTTGATGTTCTGGCCACCGCAGAGGATAATCAACGGTGCTCTATCTGCTGCATTGAGCAAGTTTGATATTGGCTTGGCTGCCACTGCTCAAACCCTCCTATCTTCTTATTCCCTCTCTTACGCTTTTTCACTCTTACCTTCCCGTTCCAGCTTCAATTTTATCCCCCCACTTTTCAACTCCTCAATTCTCGGCCCCCCCCCCCACCTTGTTAGGCTTTAACCTTCTACTTTCAACTCACATGTGAACGCGGAGCGTCTTTTCTGCCCTGTTGACAAGCCCATGTCCAACCAAGCGTTCAAGCCCAGTTCATCGGCTCCCATTTGGAACCCTCGATCCTCCTTCAGATTGATATGCCTCAATAAACGCACATTACTACAGATCGGTCAACAGGCAGCGATTACGCGAGCATTAGAGACCCACTCGTTCGATATCTGCTGCTTGTCGGAGACCCGCCTGCAAGACTTGAGCTCTGTGCTCACTTTGCGATCCCCTTCAGGTGATGCAAGCAGTATTTTTTCATTGCACCTATCCGGTGACGATGCAGCTTCGGGCTCCGGCCAAGCTGGTGTTGGCATTGCCCTGAGTCCCCGGGCTGAAGCTGCTCCGGTTGATTGGATTCCAATCAGTAGCCGGTTGTGTGCGGTCCGATTGGCTGGCTCGTTTAAAGCTTCGAAGTCGCGTGGGACTAACAAGTGTCTATTCGTTATCGCTGCCTATGCATCGACAAACTCTAACGATAACTCGGTAAAAGACGACTTCTATCGTCAACTGAACGAGCTCCTTAGCCACAGAAGCTCGGACACTGTTGTGCTGGCTGGGGATCTGAACGCTCAAGTTGGAAAATTATCCACAGATGAGCTGCATCTGGGCGGCCAACGTGGTGTAGGCTCCCGTAATGATACCGGTGAGCGGTTACTTCATTTTTGTGAAGATGCTCGCTTATTTCTTGCGAGCACTAATTTCTGCCACAGCACCCGCCGGATGGTGACTTGACGCTCACCAGCCTCGAACCAGCTGTAGACCCAAATCGATCACATTGCGATAAGTTACCGATGGAGAGGCTGCGTCCAGAACTGTCGCTCGATTTGGAGCACATGTGTGGACACCGACCATGCACTTGTATATGCTGACCTGCGGATGCGTTTTGGCGGACGCCCACAACGACGTTGTGAGCGTATTGACACAAGCTAACTGATGAAGCCAGCTGTTCTGAATGCCTATTACAGTACACTGGCATGCGAGTTGAGTAAGCGCTCACTGGAAACAATTGAAGCCCACTGATCTCATGTTCACCAGATCTTACTGGCAACAGGCAAATCTCCATGTGCTTAGTCTAATCGCCAACATGGACATTGGGTCTCTTCTCGGTCTCTGGAACTTATTGATGCTCCCCGGCACATTCCGGCTGGAAGCGAACACAATGAGACTCTCAGAAAACCGTGCTAGCCCGAATAGAAACCGCGGATCCTGGTGGTCTTATCGTGCATCAGAGATGGAAATGACCGCTGCTTTGGGTTACCATCGTAAGTTTTTACGTCTGACATGGGAAACGGGCAGCAGAAGACCTGGTGTTAATGAAACTATACGTAACGAGAGTGCACAGTCTATCCACAACTTGTCAAAACACTTGGGGCATTTTGTTGAGCACTTTGAAATGCAATTTAATCGGTCGGAATTGTCAGATTTCTCTCCGGCCGCTGATCACCCTGCTCCGTGGGCTGTCCCTTTGGTCCGCCCTCTCACTTAGAAGTCGTCCGTGAAATCGGATTGTTGTAGTTAAATGAAGCCGCGGGACCAGATGATCCTCCCCTAACCTGCTATTGTGGGTGATTTACACGAGTTACTAGTGAAACTGTGGGAGCAGAAAACTGTCCAACCGACTAGAACCGCTCCGTTATTGTCCCTATCTTCAACAGAGGCTCGCTTTCGGAATGCGGCAATCATAAAGGAATCAGTCTGATGTCCACCGCCTCCAAATTGCTTACCTCTGTCATCTTTCACAGACTGACTGGCACTCATGAAAGCCAGATTCGTGAGGACCAAGTCACGTTTCATTGTGGTCGGATTCGAATCGATCACATCTTCACATTACGTCAGTTTCTGGAGCACCGTCACATATATTGGCGGGCCACCGTAGTCGGGTTCCCCGACATCAAAGGTGCCTTCGATTTTGTGGGTCGATGTGTCCTTTGGGAATGTCTGCTATAAAAGTGTGTAAATACTGTGCGAGCGCTGTACATGCGTAGCTCTGGCAGAGTGAGCGCTTACGGGAAGCTGTCGCCGCCCTACAATATCTCCAGCGGTGTAAGACAGGGATGCCAGCTGTCACCTTTCCTCTTCGACTTCGCTATTGACAAAGTCATGGAGATCGCGTTCACAGCACACGAGTTAGAAGGTGTGGAGTTGCTCTCAGTTGAACTACTTCTTGAGCTGAAGTATGCTGACGACATTGTCTTCATCAGTGACAGCTCCCATACGTGTCAAGCCGCGCTGGACAGATTAGCACTAGCTGTCAACCTTTTCGGGCTACGCTTTGCACCATCGAAGTGCAAAGCTTTCCTCCAAGATTGGCAGGGACCGCCTCCTTCGTTGACCCTTAGTGTGGATCAGCTATAAGTCGTTCAAAAATTCAATTACCTGGGAAGTTGTATCAGTGCTTGTGGGATTGAAGAGGAAGTCACGAACCGTATAGCAAAAGCTCGAGGCGCTTTTCTTAACCTTTGCCACCTATGGCGCTAGCGCAACATCACTCTCGCGCTGTAGGGTAGAGTGTACAATACAGCGGTACGTCCGACCCTACTGTACGGTTGTGAAATCTGGCCCCTTAGATCAGCGGACATAAAGGAGGCCAGTTACGTTCGACCATCAGTGCCTTCGCAGTTTGGCTCACATCTGGTGGGAACACCGACTAAGCAACGAGCGTGTTCGACGCCTTGTTTACGGCACACGAAAAGAAACTGAACCGCTCAGCACCATCATTTCACGCACCAGGCTCCGATGGCTCGGCCACGTGTTACGCATGTCAGCCCACCGGCTCCCTCGACGTGCCGATTTGGAAAACTTCTAAACAGCCTTTTCATTCTATTGGGCTTGTGTGTAGCACTCGTTCGCAAGATCTTGCTACATGCGCACCTATTACCTTTCTCCCATATGCTACTAAACCAAGGGTAATGGCAATAAACCACTGTGCGACTGGTTTTTGCTCTGTTGCTCGTAACTATGATCATATTTCCATTTACTAGCACCATATCCAGTATGTGGAGATAAGGTGATACGAAAATTGTCAGTCACATACAGTTTCATGGGCCACAGTAATTAGTGTCCTCTCCTCCCTCCCGATCCCTTTCTCCGTCTATCGGTGGTCCAGCTGTTCTCCTGCCCATTCTCACTCGATAAGACAGCGTCCTTCATATTGTCACGTTCGTTCTATGATCTTGACATTAAATGTGCTGCTCGCAGATTCCTTCCTGGGGGGTAGCTTGATGCACGACTGTCGATAGGTTGACGGTATATTTTGTGCCGCGGATAACTAAGTGTGTGAAGGTCTGCTTGCTCTATTCAGCATTGCGCATGTCAGCATAAAGATCGTTGACGAAGTGCAACAAAACCGCTACATAGCATTCTTGTATAACCATCTCACCTGAGCCTCGGCGGACCCATACAGAGGGGAGCCTTAGGGCTGTCATTTAGAACGGGGAATGCATTCGCTTCGCTGGTTGCTTTACCATAAGTCAACTAGGAATCATTGTCCTTGTCTCACCGAAAGTGCTAAGAGGTACGCACGGATTATATGCTTTCGAACAGAACGGTTACCCGGATAAATTCATCCGGGACATATGGTACTGCGGGCGCCAAAGCCCGAACCAGTTTCAACAGGAAAGCGTTTAATCTGTTAATCGCTATCTCTCAGGGGCGACAAGATTGCCAGACTGCCCGAAAGCTCTTCACTGCCACTGCAAGGACGTACTACACAGTCGATGTGCGAGCGTTTCACACCAAAACCTCCGGGATAGATTCTCTAGACCATTGTGTCCCCTACATGTGTGCAATTTTTCTTGCTCATGTGGAGCAATTTATCTTGAGCAAACGATCAGGCGACTGTAGGAACGAGTCCAAGAACATTTCTCAACGTGGCTTTATATCACAGTGACGAGTGCCGTAACATCGCGTTTGTTGGATTCTGATTGACGAATCAGCACATATGAGACCTTTCAGTCCATCTATCGAATACTCAGGCACCACAGGCCAGCAATAAGGGGCCGCTTTTCAGCGACAACGTGGACGATCTCTGCCCGGCTCCGCAACTGGGACTTAAGCGTACAGAAATGGTCTCTCAATTCTTGTCTACCCTGGCCAGAGACCACCTCTTCCAGCGGCAGAATTCATGCTGCTTCTCCCAACTTAGCGTCGTCTTAATCAATCTCATAATTATCGAATAAACAGCTCATCCCATCGATTCTTTACTTTTATGCATCTTGTGTTCCTTTCGATTCCATCCCTCGTAGCGTACTACTTACTGAAGAACTATAGAAAACAAATTTTTTGTCTAGGTTTACCTTTGTTTCTGCTGAGACCTTTATGATTGGATTTACCAACACCTTTTGCGCTCGTCTCTTCCAGAGTCATCCATCCGCCGATTCCTCCGAGGTTTTCCATGTCGATCACTTTCTTTTCCTTGGTTGGCCAGATTTCGATGTGCCGTCTGACACAGAAGGTTTCCTGACTTTTTTAAAGGATGTCAAAACGTTGCACAAAGCCAGATGTGACGAATTATGTTGCGTCAGCAACGGCGATTTGAACTCCCAGCCGCTTTGCCCCAAGAACTTCCCCCTCTTGATCCACTGTAGCGCGGGTATCGGTCGAACTGGTAGGCTCAGGTTTTAAACCCCATTCTGGTCTGTCTTTTCAATGTGCCTACGATATTCGAATTACCCAGTTGGCTTATTATTCATCTAATTTTGTGTTCCAGGTACGTTCGTTACCGTTGATATCTGTTTGCAACAGGCTCTCAATGAGGGCTACATCGATGTCCCCGATGTGATCAATCGGTTGCGCGAGCAGCGGGCTGGCGCTGTTCAAGTACCGAAGCAGTATGCTTTTGCCCACTCTGCCCTTGCCTTTTCCCTCACCAAATCACGTGGTGCTCAACATTAGACTATTTACTCCCGCCGTTTGTCTTCCTTTCCGTACACCGCAGTCCATGTCCTCGCTCTTAACTTTTAGAGCTGTTGCTCAACCAAGCGTTTTGACATTGTACAACTCGACTTGTCCCTTAACCTGTCAACCATTGTTCAGTGACATCAACAGTTGAGCTGGCGCCTTGCTTCTTCCCCATCTGCCTCTGATCACTTTTAGTTTACATTCGCACACCGTCTGAACAACTTTCAATACCTCTTTCTGTACATACCTGTGTTCACTTTGCTCAACCACCCTTACCAGATGTTCCCCATTCGCCCTACGTTCTCACCACATGCATCATTGGTGATCACGGTGTAAAACTCTTCACTTTTGTAAAAGACGTGGTTGAGCATTGCACATTACACGGTGCGCCTGTGTCGTACTGCTTGCTTTCTGCCCTGTGAGACTGTGACTGTCTGACTGCTCAGTCAGGCTTCTTGCCAACCGAAGGAATACAAAAGGCCAGAACTCGGTAGACAGAGTATATCTACAGGATAAGTTAACTCTATTTATTGGTAAACGAAACATACTAATTTTGGAGGTCGAGATCACCCACACTTCTGCGTCTGGTTTTCAGCCAATGTGAGTGAATTCCGCTCCACGGGTTTACCATATTGACGGAATAGTTCGATTCCTTTGGCGTTGTGTTGTATTTGGTGGCCGACCAACTCGTACTTGATTCCCAAATTCGGTGGAAAAGTCAAAGATCCTACCGTCCTGATGACTTTTGCCTGTAGAATACAGCCTAGTGCTCCGTTTACGTCACTATTAGCCTGACTGAATTTTCGCCGATAAACACTTTTTGGCTGTTAGCAAACTTGCGTCCTTCGTTGTGTACGTTTAGGCGTCTTCGTCTGTCTCGCACCGGTATCCATTCGAACGTCAGCCGGCGTTGTGTATCCTTTTCACCTCTCCATCACGTGGCGATTATTCTTATTATTATTTAACAATTGACCAATGTACAATTGGCAGTACCACAGCAAAAAAGGGGAATAACGAATAGTCAGTGAAAGGATTTCAAAGATTTAGGAGGTTAATGTCTTGTGATCATGTAGTCATAGTTTGGCGGCATGGGCGAACAAGTGTTGTTCTACCATTCCCGTCGGCTAAACTGCCTGACATATCGTTTGATCCAAATGCGCTACATCTGATGCACGCCCTCGTAGAAGAACCAATTGGCAAGTGCACTAAGAGCGAAGCATCGCATCATGCTGCACAACATACAGGGTGTTTTATTAATCATGTCTGAAATTAAGAGCAACTGCACTCAGGTGCTGACGTACCCCGGTATGCCGAGTTGCAAATTGTCCACCGGCACGAATTGCTTTGCCGGCAGGGATGAGATGGGACACAGAGGTGCGACATGTGTGTTTACGATCGCAGTGCACACCGAACCGTTCGGCTGGGAGAAGTGAACGTTCGCAAACACCACAGCCGCAATTGACCTGTCATGCGTGAATCGCAAGGCATGACCAGGCAGGGGAACACAGGCCGTTCGGCTGTGAGAACTGAATGTTGGCCAGACATCACAGCCGCACTGAACATGTCACGCTTCGATCGATCGGTAGTCGGCCTTCACGCAGGTGAAAATGCCAGTAAAAGGGTGCCCTGCGAACTGGTTAGTGGGTCGCTGTGCTAGCAACTGAGAAAAACAGCCTGGCCGTATGTGATGAACGGTCGATGAGCGCCGTATTGCCTTCGCCACAAAAGCTTTTATCGCCTCATGACTGGCTCCCAACAAACCCGTAAACTTTTATTAGGCTGCTTTCGCTGCTAAAGGGAATCATACTGCCAGGAGCACATTGTAGGGCTACAGTGTTGTTCGCTTTACCGTTTCGATCGCGTGTGTGTTACAGCTGAAAATGCACCCTTCATGAATGCGTAAAAACGCATTCTTAACTTGACTTGACGGACAATGCTCTCAGATTTCATCCCGCCCCGATGCACTAGTGGCACCATTAGACAGCACACCAACTTAGTCATAAATGCAACTATAACCCTCACAGTCAGACACTTGCTATTGGTACAAATTGATCAGGCCTTCGACGGTGTTTCTCGTGTACAATGGAAAATATATACGTATTCATTTATTTATTTATATTTACTTGAAATGTGCGAAATGTCTGTAAATATCGACGAATTAGATGTTCCTTTTGGCTACAGAGGAGTATTCGACGGATGGTGTTGGCGAGCACTTTCTGCAATGTCTCCGACGAAATCTGCCTACATTCGTTCACAATGTTCTCTTTCAGTTCATCCAGGTTTTTGGGTTTCGTTCTATAAACTCTGTGCTTCAAGTATCCCCATAGGAAAAAATCCACGGGATTCAGATCTGGTGGTCGTGCGACCGATCCAACGTCCACCGAATATCTCGTTCAGTTAGGTACGAACCGATTGCGCCGGATGTGCAGGTGCTCTATCCTGCTGCCACCAAACGTTATTTATTAACCCTTCCGACTGTAGCTGCGGAATGACGCTGCTCTACAACATTTCCATGTACGAGGATGCTAAGAAATGTCAGAGATTAGTACTGTTAAACAACCACCTACCGGACACACTCCTGGAAAAGATGAATTGCTCAATGATTTTTCGACCAGTCAACCCAGCCCAGACCATGAGCTTCGCACTATGTTGTACGTGCAGTGCACTGTACCGCCGGAATATTTTTCCCTTCAATATTCGATGCACAGCATACTGTGTGGTTTCGCAATGTTGTGCGAGTTGCCGAACGCTGAGATGACTGTTACTGCGTACCTCTTGCACAACCGCGCAGGCTGATACTTCATCCATGACGGTGTGTGACCGTCCGATTTGCTTGATGTTGCAAACGCTGCAGTTTCTGTAAAGTTCTTCACCACTCGACGCACATACCGCTCGTTAATGATCCACGTGATGCAGTGCATACGATTATAACACCTTGCGGTTTCCGCCGCATTGGACCCACACTCAGCATACAGCTGCACAATGACCACGCGCTGATGGACCGGCACATTACGTGACTGCGGTTGCTGCTACATCGACGACACAGGTGTAAGCTCCTGTTGCATTGTTAACACAGCGACCCATTAACCATTTCGCATTTTCACCGGCGTGAAGGCCGATTACCGATCGAACGAAGCGTGACACGTTTAGTGCGTCTATAGTGTCTGGCTAACGTCCAGTTCTCACAGCCGAACGGCCTGTGTTCCGTTGGTCTTGCCTCGCGATGCACGCATGACAGGTCGATTGCGGATGTGGTGTTGGTTAAGGTCACTTCTCACAGCCGAACAGCTCCTTGTGCCCTCCGATCGTAGGTACACATGTCGCGCCTCTGTGTCCCATCTCACTCCTGCCGGCAAAGCAATTTGCGCTACTGGACAGTTTGCGATTCAGGGTACTGGGTTACGTCAGCACCTAAGCACATCCGCTCCTAGCTTCGGACATGAGTAATAAAGCACCCTATAGTTATCGTCGTTGCTTTCCACTGGTTTTCGATCACTAGTCGCTCGATTTTTCGTATACCTACAAACTATTTACATTACTCCTATTTAATGAGTAGTTCAGTAAATGTAGTCTCTTCATTCACCATTTCGGGCACACCGGAAGCCGCCACTCAGATCGAGGCCATGGCATATCTTCGCAGGTCTTTCACTGCCGTGGCTTGGATCACATGCTGTGCATTAGGGCTCTCCACGCTGTTCATTTTACCAAGCGATCAACTGTCGGTTTGGAGTGCACGGCTTTGTAGCCGTCTTGTAATCTTTTCCAGTCAGGCTGATGCAAAGCACTGCTCCCAGTCGTACACGCTGCACATCCCTAATGTGTATGATGCCGTCGTAAGATTAGGCCAACATTGCCAGTTCCCACGACCGGGGGCTGCTGTAGGAAACTTCCAGTCTATTCGCTTGGTTGTGCCATTGGCAGTCAAGTCATTAAATAGTTTGCTATATGCCGCTGTAGAACCTTTGCGACGATGGCGGGACAACTGCTTAGCATTCGACGTCAGTGTGTGATAAGCCACTGCATCGCTAAAGACATTATGATGTCCCCAGTCTCCTATAATGTTTTACTTTTCCGAGTGATTTCTCTATCCGGTAAGCTTTCGTCTTTTTACCCGTATTAAACCACTGTAGCATTAGTTTGGTCACAATAGCAGATCTTGTACTTGACGTCCGTCGGATCAAGTCCTTCCTACGTCTATTGGCTGCCTGCTCGATTGGTAGCCGATGGCGCAGTTGGCTGGGTGAGGACTCATGACAATATAAGGGTGGAAACTCCTGAACAATTTGATCGAAGCACTGACTTGAAATACTGTGTCCCCTATTCTTGGATAGCGTCTCCGGTTGGAGTGCACGCTTAGTAGTGACCTTGAGTTCGATTTCTTTCTATTGGCCACCCCACTCCGTAATAGCTTTTCTTGCATCGTCGTCTATTGTTACTTTTATCATTACCACGATGTTCACACAATTGGAGCTAATTTGCTACGCTGCATCTCCCTGCTTGAATCACGGTTATCCGACTGATTTCTTGCTACTATGTCGTTCTACACCGGCGATTCGGTTATCTGGATGTCACCCACCGGGTTCTTCAATGTATATTGTAAGCCACTATTGTGAACTTTAAAGTTTTCCGTTCCCAATCGCTCTAGGATGTGTATAGGGGAAAGGTATTTATTTCAAATAAATTGTGTTGTTTCATGGCATTTGGATGAGTACTCAGAACTCAGTTCATTGTTGTTATTCGCTTGCGTCCTGCGTCATTAACCGCCCTTTCGAGCTCACTACAATAACGCTGCAGCTATGCTGATCATTCCCACCCACTTTGATTTGCCCAGCTAGGGTGTTGGAGTGAGAAGCCGGTGCTAGTGATAGACACAATTAGCAAACGACCGAGTTATACCCCGAACATTTATTGGTCTTCATCGTCCGCAGGATCCGAATTGCTTTTTCGTTTATATTGAAATCCGTCACATCCATAGTTTATTATTTTGAGTCTGGAACGCTTTTGAATACCAATTCTAACTAGCTACGATTCTCTCCAGCATGGTTATAAATTGTGTATTTCTCGACTGTGCGAGATATAGTCTAACTAGGTGGTCTGGTCACTTGGCACAACAGTATCTTAAGGGATAGATGTTAGTTCAACTTATTCAAAGCAGTTCGCAGATAGGTTTTCGGGGTGTCCAATGTGTTGTAGTCCCTCGAAATGTTTCATCCGCACTTCCATGCCCCATTTGGCTTTGTGCCGATGTGGCATAAGAGCAAGTGAGCCATCACCATATTAGCTCAACTTCAGGGCCGTTGTTATGTATAGTGGGTACTCAGCTCTCAGAGAGAAATAATTCATCAGTACGTCAGCCGTGAACCACTAGGCTCTGAGCTCCCCCATTCCCAGCTCAGGCAATCTCCACCTGATGAGTCCAAACGAGGACGAAACCGCGGTCATGGTGAGTCTGCGTTGGGAAGAGAAACACCGAAATGCTTCCATTTCGGATACGGTTCTTACGTCGGAAT